ATTAATCAACAACGACATACAACAACATTTATCAACAACACAACAACATACAACAAAATAAGGTTCAAGAGCAACAATAGCAACATAGATCAACAACAACATAAGATGTTATATAATGTTTAAAGAACACACATTTTTTAAACTAATCGTGGATTTGGAACAAATAATGATTTTCATCTAGTTTATGAAGATATGAAGAAGAAGTACAAGGTGAATGAAGTTAACACAATAACTTTATACTTCTTGTATTTTTCTTCATAGCTACACAAACCATATGTATCATAGTCAAAGTATACGATTTGTTCAGGTGGTGAAGACAAATCTGAAAAAATGAGAACATTCACCCAAAAAAAAATGAGAATCCATTTTTAACAAAAAATATAAACAAAATCGAAGCATAAATTTAATGAACGAATTTGAAAAATGATTAAAGAGTATCATAGTGATTGGTGAAGACGAATCTGAAGGATTAAGAAAGTTTAAAGAGTTTCATGAATGTTAGGGTTATGTTATGAGAGAGAAGAGTAAAATATATTAGGGTTTTCATTTGAGAGAAACGATTGTTATGTACTGAACGATAGATACTTTTGTTTATATAGTTAAAAATATCACATTTCGTCACGGTTAGAAAGAAAAACCGTGGTATAATATATCACTTTTTATCCCGGTTCTTAGTAAAACCGTGGTTAAATCTCTCTTTTTTTTTTAAAAATTTATGAACCCAATTGCGAGAGAGGTATTAATTATTATTATTGTTGTTTTTTTGTTTAAATCTATCATAATTTTTTTATTTAAATCTCTTACAATTTTTTGTTGGCTTTAACTATTTTTTGTAAAATAATAATAGTGCATAAATGAAATAATATATATAACAATAATAAATAATTTTATTAAGAGGAAAAAGAGGGTGAAGTACATAAATTATTTCATTACATAATTTTGTCAAGGTCGGAACAATAAGAAATATTCATAATCTATGACTTTCTCCTCGCTATCCTAGTTAGAATCATAATAACAAATATTTTTTGGCACCTTTTTCTTCTTCTTCAGCTTCTTCTTCTTTTTAGCATTCCTAACCCTAAGTGTATCCCTGAAAGTAGTCGATCCAGATGGCTGGACCTCCTAAGTTGACAGCTGATCATGGTGTTGTACTGTGGTGACTTCAGTTGAGATATTTTTGTTAGCATTTTTAGATGGAGAACTCATGTTGCTATATGTAGTTAAGAAGAATAGTTTTGAAGAAGTGAAAACTCATTATATGAAACAATGCCTTTATAGAAGAGGTTGAAGATGAAAGATCTGATGATTTAATGTTTGCAATGATTACTTTCAATGGTTTATATTCTTGAACGACATTGTGACCGTCTTGAAAAATGAAGTAAATTTTCAATCATGATTATAGTTGAGAAGAGCGTTTCTCTGTTTAGGAAAGAGCAAAGGTTGTAAATATAACATTACAACAGTTTGCATATTAAAGTTGTGATTTAATAATCTTCAACTTTTTATTTATTTATGAATTTAAGTGACACACGCTTTTTGTAATAGGAAAAATTGTTAAAATATAGTTGTCAGGATTTGAACCATATGTCATTGAATGTCTATTTTATAGTAGTGTATGATATAGGACTGCGTATACTTTGAATATGAATGTATCAATATCAGAAGAGAAATATGTTATCTCTATACTTATTGAATGTATCAACTTCTTCTGGTGATCATTCAAAACCATAAACAAAGCTGAGTGATATGTACTGCATAAAATAAGCTACAATGTCAAATAAGTTTGTCACCAAGAGTATGAGTTCACATGGCTCAAGGAGAGTTGATATGCTTTACGGATAACCATTCTCAACAGATCTATAGTATAACTCACAAGGAAGACTCTACGGTTAAACAAATTGCACAATGGAGAGAGACCTTTTTATGCATCTATCTTCAACGTCTCTTAGTACTATAGAGTAACAAAGACACTTATACAAGTTATTTCTTCCAACGACTATTCTTTTGTTACTTCTATTTAAGTAGTTGAAGATTCAATCTAAATAATAAACAAGGAATAAAGAAAGAGGGACAAGAAGAAAATAATTGTTTCATGCTTCTATCAACATGGAAGAATAACAAGATCAATAACAACATCAAGTATGTAGAGTTTCTGTTATTTGTTGTAATTTGTATAAAGCCTTATGATTTCTTAAACGCTGAATATCTTAGAAATCTTAAGTGCTATGATATTTTTTATAGTTATTTCCATGTACTTCCGAATGTACATCAAGTACACCTTGTTGTCTATTCTGCTAAACAAGTTGCTTAGTAGTTTTGAAAGAAAATATCTTGCTATGTGTTTGAGCATCAAAGTCACTTGTTGTAAGCTTGACCCAAGTAAGTCTCCTGCTATTTTCTTGAGCATTGAAGTCTTGATCAATTTGTTGATTAAGCAAGGAAGTCTTGGATTATAGGTCTAAGTAGGAAAGTGTTGGATTCGTGGAATCTGAGCAAGAAATTCTTGTACTCGAGGGTACAAGAAAAAAGTTTTGAATCTGTGGGATTTAAGTAGGAAGTCTTGGATTCATGAAATCTAAGTAGGAAAATATTGGACTATACGCTTGAGGATGAAGTTTTGAATTTGTGGGATTTAAGCAGAAAGTCTTGAATTAGTGGAATCTAGCAGGAAAGTCTTAGGCTGTGAGTTTGAGCAGGAAGTCTTGTACTTGAGGGTATAAGCAGAATAGTCTTAGAATTTGAGGATCTGAGCAGAAAGTCTTGATCAGGTACAGATTGAGCAGACAAGTCTTAGGTTGTATGTTTAAGCAAATAAAAGTCTTATGCTTGAGGGTATAAGCAATTTTAATCATGGTTTGATTATAGTGGAAAATCTCTTGTGCTGCAAGGAGATTGGACTACTCTCAGTTTGGGAGGTACCAGAATAAATCTTTGTGTGTTCTTTTGTCATTTACTTGCTTATGTTATTATTTCGTTGCAACTTGCTATCAGAATCTCAACTATTGTTTAGAATTTGAACTTTGTTCAGAAGCAACGCAAATTGGAGAACACAGTTCAACCCCCCTTATTGTGTATTTTCTTACCTTCGACGAGCATATGTTACTATGATTTTATTTGGTGTTTGTTCATCAGTAAACATTGGCTTTCCTATGCCACTTCCTATTTTCCCCAACCTCTATGCCCCCCATAAATGAAGTGGTAATTGTGGGAGTTTTACTCTGATATGTAGGGTTCGTAACATGTCTATTTTCATAGAGAAGTCAGGTTTCTACTTTGTTAAGAACATTGGCATGTTATGAATGGTGTATGGTCCTTTGATCAATACTTCATCTATGTCTTTGAGCAATCTAAATCTCAAGATGAAATGCCATTCATCACTAGGGTACATTTCAGGCAATTGAACGAAACTCCAAAATTTGACCATGTGATTCTTAACTGTATTCATGCTCAAATTCCCACCAAGCACACACGTTATCAAGGATGATTCCCAAAACTCTAACGCAAATTCAACATCTCCTTCCTCTATTTCAATTTCAATAAATCCACCCACTACTTTCTGCGCTACAAATTCAATGGGAATTCCATTTATTGTAACTTGGTCACCTTTGATGATATTCACCCATAGTTTTTCCTAGGGCGTTTGCAGGTTGGGTCGGGTCTAATTTGATTAAATCTAATACTTGACCCGATCAATATTCTTTGGGTTGGGTTGAATGTTCAACCCGTACTTTTAAGATTAAACCCGAACCAAACCAACCCGCTCATTAATGAGTTAAGTTGGGTTGAGTTTATGGGTCATCCACTAAATATAATTTTCAAATTTTAAATAAAATATATCAATTTAATTAATACAAGTATATTACAAAACCATTATAAAAATCATAAACTTTTAATATTCATTTTGAATAAAATTTATTGGTTAATATCTAAAAACTCTTTTACAATTCATATAAAGTTATAAAAATATACAAATGGTGTAAAATATAATATAAAAGGTAAGATATATCTCTCTTTGAATAAATAAAATTGATCTCTTAAATTTGATTTAGACTTAGACTTTTACAATTAATAAAAGTTTTTATTAATGGTAAAAGTCTAAGTCTAAATCAAATTTGAGAGGTCAACTTTATTTATTCAAAAAGAGATATATCTTACCTTTTATATTATACTTTACACCATCTTTCGTCTCAGTTAAATTAAATTGAATATTATGATCTCTCTAAGAATAATAAATCATCTATATTTATTATTCATTATATAAAATTGAACATTAGGATCTCTCTAAATCCAATAGAAAATCAATAATATGTCATATTTTTAAAAGAATTTTAAAATATAAGTTAGATGTGACCTAATACATAATAATTATTGATTGAAGATGTAAAAATCACATTTTCTCATAAAATTAAAAAAAAATTGATGCATTAATCATGTAAATTTTTTTTATATTGTCTATCAATAACGATCATACATTCCATCGAATCAGACCAAAAACTTTAAATTAATTATATAAAATAATAAAATAATATATTTTAATAACATTGTGCATCACCATTAAACCCTAAAATCAAATCTTCACTTATTTAAGTCAATCAAATATTTTGGTTTTTTTTTTTTATAAAAAAAATTAATAAAATTGAATGGTCCTCCCGATAAAGGGACCCATATCTAACCGTACAAACCCATGCGGGGTTGCGCATAGCAAGTTCCTTCCAATTTATTTCTTCTCTCATTGAATATCCATCGCACGCGTTTTCATCTCAATTCTCCGATTCAATCAATCTATATACTTTCTTTCTCTCCACTATCACCAGATTCTCCGTTCTCCTCTATCCCAACCCTAATTTTTCAATAGGGTTTGTTCATCTCTCATCATCATCATCATCATTCCCTTTTATTACAATTTCACAATTCTCATGATTCCTTACGTTTTTCTCCTTCTGTTTCAGGGAGACCGGTTTTAAAGAGAATCGTAATTCAACATCTTGTAATAATCAATCATGTTTTCACGGATTTTTGGTAAACCTAAACAGGAAGCCAATACTCTAACAACTTTAGACAAATTAAATGAGGTAACTCCAATTTTCTTCTTTTATGATCAACTCGATTTTGCTTTTTTTGAATTCGGCGTAGTTGATTTATATAACTTGTTCACTCTTTGAACTACTCGGTTAGGTTTATATTGTGATTTTGAATATGATTTATTTTTTATTAGTTGTTAAGCAACGATATCGTTATTGTTGATTTTGAATATCAATTGTTCATCTTCTCAATTAAGTCTTTAGTTTTTTTTCTTGTAATCTGTTTTACAACAATAAAGATGCTAATTTTTTACATTGCCAATTTGATTTATTTTTTTACTTGCGTTTTGCAAATTACTCAGCTACACTAAGTGTGTGTTTGGTTTTGAGGTGATGGGAATTGATTTTGTAGAATTGATTCTGAGTGAGTTGATTTTGTAGAATTGATTCCGGTTAATAGTGAGTTGGATGTGAATTGATTTATGTTTGGATACATTTATCTGAAAAAGAGTTCAACAACAAATTTCAGTGTAAAAATCAAATTAAACTCAAAAGCTACAAATTCTAGTTTCGAATAGAATCAATTATGAATGCATAATCAATTCTACTTTAGAAGAACCAAACACTCAAAATCGTTCCAAAATCAGTTCTACACCTCTAGAATTGCTTCATGATCTAAGATAAAGCCTTAGTAGCAATACTATGTTTTGTTCTATAATAAATATGTGTTGCGATTGTATATTTTTCTAAATGTGGTTGGATCCCATAACGATGGATGTGTCCAAAGTTTAAATTTTTGTTTCTAGCCGTGATTTTTGTTTTATTTTTTATTTATATATAATTTGATATCTTTTGTTCCTTAAATTATGCAGACACTTGAAATGCTAGAGAAAAAGGAGAAAGTGCTTCTTAAAAAGGCTGGGGCAGAAGTTGAAAGAGCTAAAGAATTCACAAGGGCCAAGAATAAAAGGGGTATGTAGCAAATCTAATGAATGCTTTTTTTATGAGAATATTACTGGGGCACATGCCTCTCTCCTCCTGACTACTTATGTTTATGTGGAGATTATGAATGTTTGCTTTGGTCAAAATCATTTGGGCATTCTTTGGAGGAAATATCCTTCCATTACATCAAGATTGATTGTAATTACCATTTATAAATGTATGTTTTTTTTTTCTTCCCTTGAGAATGTTGTGATGGTTGAATGGTCATGAAAACAAGATAGTACAAGGAATAAAAAAGCATTTAAGAGAAATTTGGATAGCACCCGCTATAAAAGAGGGTGGAGTTTCATCATATGTGGTTTGCACATGTATAGAGAACACCTATAGAAACCATTAGAGGTTGAGCGAGACCAATCAAAATTAATGGCCAAATCGAAAGATTAGATTTAAATGTAATAGGTCTGTTGATTAACAGACATTGCTAGTTTGTTTTAAGGATGCCTTCTATGACATCATTTTATAAAATGTGTATTGATAATTTGATAGCAAACATTTTTTACTATGTATAGCAGGTTTCATGGCTAACAATATCATTATGCAGTTGAGTATGTATAATTGATCATTTCTGTCATCAGAGGTAAATAAACGGATAGAATCGAGTGAATGTGGGAGTAACTGGGTGAGCATAGACAAGCTTTACCTGGTCATTTTATGGTGCACTTTTTACCAACTTTCTATAGATAAACTTTACTTGGACTCTTTGTGCTAAATGATTTTTCCACATACCCCCCTCCTTTAGTTTAGGAATCCATTATTAGTGGAACAGGTTCACGGGCCAATAATATATTAATGGTTATGCTAACAAGTTCCTTATGGGCACTAGTTAAGGAGGCCAAAAGTAGAAGCTTGCATTCCAAACAACAATTTTTAAACATCTAAAGAGTCAAATACACCATTTATATATTTGTTTCCTTGACCAATGCCCTAAGGGCCACTTATCAGCATTTTCCCATATTAATCTTTTGTTAAATTTTCTCTTTGAATTTCTATCTATTGCAGCGGCAATACAATGTTTGAAAAGGAAGAGGCTATATGAACAACAAGTAGAGCAGCTTGGAAACTTTCAGTTGCGTATTCATGACCAGGTGTGATTGCAATTTCTTATTCAGTAATTACAGTTTCTTATCCAGCAGCTACAATCATTGTTTTCAAGTCTGTTAGCTCAACCACTGTCTTACTGTTTTATATATTTACATACATAGACACAGACACAACACATTCACTCTATTAAACCTGATCAGAAGCCCAGTCATCTATGTTTTCTACCCACAATTTCTGCCCAGTGGCATTTTTGTAGTTTTCTTGCAAAACATAAGCGTATGACAATTATCTCCTGAAGGCGTGAGTTTCCTTCAATAAAAAATTGGCAATTTTCATTGAATGGACCCCCCCACCACAGTACTTCAAATCTCCACCTATTTTTTAAGGTTGATTGGACGAATAGAAGTATTTTGTTCTAAGTTTTCCCGGTCTGAGAAAGCAGTTCAGTCTAGTTCTGAATTTCTTATAGCTAGTAGTGCCACATGATTCAGTTTTTGAGTGTCTTTTATATCTTATATGCTGGTGATGTTTTGCAGATGATAATGTTAGAAGGTGCAAAGGCAACCACGGAAACAGTTGACGCATTGAGAACTGGAGCGGCTACTATGAAGGCTATGCAAAAAGCAACGTATATAACACTATCTATGTTTAAATTTTTGTTTATTTATTTGATTGGTATTCTGATGTATATTTTATTTGCACGCTACTATATGGATGCTTTAAAACCTGAAAATGGTTTATCATTTTTTTCTGACATGGAAAATGTTCTCCATGCATGTAACTTTTTTTGTTTAACGCTCTTGCTTATCTTAGATTACTGATTGTGACATTGTTGAATTGCAATATTATATTTTTCAGGAATATTGATGATGTTGACAAGACCATGGATGAGATCAATGAACAGACTGAAAACATGAAACAGATTCAGGAAGCATTGTCAGCTCCAATTGGCGCAGCTGCTGATTTTGATGAGGTAAATTTAAATACTAATTTTTATAATGACTCTGCTAATGAAATTTATGTTTTGATTGATTTGTTATTGAGCGTCTATTTATATGTGTAATCATATTTGGCCAAATTTGTTTGCTATCCAGGATGAATTGGAAGCAGAACTTGAAGAGCTAGAGGGTGCTGAGTTGGAAGAACAACTTCTTCAGCCCGCAACTACAGCTCCAGCAGCTTCGGTGCATGTCCCAGCTGGGCGGCAACCTACTCGCCCAGCACATGCTAAGCCCACTCCAGAGGAGGATGAATTGGCAGCTCTGCAAGCTGAGATGGCACTTTGAGCAGGTCCCTTTTCTCGGTTATGACACTTGATTTATCCTATCTCTGCATTAATATATTTTAGTCGGATTGGTAAGGCAATTACTGTTGCAGTTGAATGGTTTGTGTATTCATGTTAGATATGAACGTTTGTACAGTTGAATTCTCTTGTATGATTATATTTTGAAATTAATTGCCATAAGCCGCATGGCAGAAAAAATAAGTCCGTCTTATTAAGCAGTTTTTATTGTTAATTTTGCTGCTGGATTTGGTTAGGCCAGAATTTTGCAGGCATTGATAATGCATATGATACAGGGCATACATTAGATGTCACTCTATTAGCTGTTTTCTTTGAGAAGGCTGAAAACTGTACCACACCTCAAAAAAAAGCACGACACTTGTGTTGTTCTTGATATGTATTTATGGCAGTGTATCCCAGTCTTGTTAGGTGAAATCTGTGGTTATCTTTATCTTCACTAATTGATGGACACTAACAAAAGTTGTCTGTACTAGCGAGGAAAAAATATCCATAAATTAAAACAGTTTTGTTTGGTAAAGATTTTTGAACATTGTCATGTGTGTGAAATTCACTCCATCTGATCATTTATTTACTCTGAGGTGGGAATGAAAGACAGTTAGAAACTATGAAACACATACCTGGACATGAGACTTACACGTCAAAAGTAGTAATAACTTAAATTAATAATTAAATTGAACGTGATTACATGAATTAGTGTTGTGTTGGCGTTCGTTGAGACACATTGATCTTGTGACAAGAGATTGGAGGATATTATATCTTTAAAGGAGCTTCTGATCCTTTTTGCTATTATTTAGGCTTGGAGGATAATTTTCCCAAGAGCTTGTTGATTTGGTTTGTTGTGTCTGATTTGGTGTTGCTGGGGGCATTAATGGGGTTAAATTGTAAAATTGGTCACTTTGTTTCATTATCTTGTTTTTTTCATTTGGGCTATGCTTCATTGTCATTTGATACGGAATTCTTTTGAGAAAGTATTAAAAAGAAATTTGTTTATTTCATCCTATATATTTTTAATACACCATATAAATTTTCACATGTGTTTTTTGATTTTGGAAATATATCTCCGCAAGTATCTATCTCTGAAAATATTTTAAGCATTCAAAATATATCACTCAGACATCATTTATATTTGAATTATTTTGGAGATGCATCTTTGTGAATATTTCGAAGATGCATCTCCGAAATGTATCAGAACGTGTATTTTTTACTATAAGTTGTGTATTTGTTTTCAGATGAAGGTATGAAGCACGATCTCAAATAAAATAATGGACGTAAAAAAAGAAGACTAATATTAGGTGTGACGAAAATAATATAGTAATATAATAGAAAAATGTCATACAGAACGAGATTCAAATGTAGTAAAAATGTAAGAAATAAAGTACAAACTATGACACTACAACAAAATAATAACACAACTACTGAGTGTGCCTGACAACATCTCCTATATGTCCTTTTCCTGCTCTGCTTCCTTGGCCATTAATCCCTCCGGCGATGTCTCCAGTACAACAGTGCCCCTGTGCCTCCGCCACCATGGCATCCAGGACTCGGGTGACACCAGACCCCTCAGGGAAGATATCCTCGTCAATGCATGTCCGTGCAATCTCCACTATTCGACGACACTGAGGCAAGACACCTTCAGTATGATCTAGTTGAGTCTGCTTCTCCTCTAGAATCTCCTGATGAGCTGGTCTCGACGGATCTCCTGAAGCAATCTGCACCATGTACGAATGTGAGACCCTGAAGAACCACCTGATGTATCAGTCGACGTAGCTCCAGTCGTTTGACGGTATGGTAGCCTGAGCATCCTATGATACCAGATGACTCTCATAATCATTTCCTTTATTTGTCTATGAGACAAGGTAAGAGGAGCAGAGACAACAAAGTGTCTAGGGATGGTTTGGGTGTACCCGAACTGTCGCATGACACGCTTGGGCAAATGAGTAGCCAAACTACGCGATCTGCAGGCCAATCATCCGGAGTATAGCGATATGTCGTCAAATGGCCGCGTATGAGGGTGATCCACATAGCTATTAAAGTGGATGTCTTTAGCAACCAACAATCAAGATAGACTTTGAAAAGCTCGACCATCTGGTTCCCTCTCAGCGAGATAAAAACACGGGCACGCGACACGTCCTTAGTGTACTCGTCCACATTATGCGCGAGATATGATGGAGGATCCAAGTCTGAAATGAAAATAATAAAAAAGGCATTCAGGGATCAAGAATTATGACAATGGTTTTGCAAGTATGAAATGAAAAAGATAAAAAAAAACATTCAAGGATAAAAATTTATTACCATTAGTAGTGTTACGCTGCCTGTGACCTGCTTCGTCTTCCACATATATCCCTCCCTCAACTTCAAATACAGATAGGCCAGACAAGCCGCTCCCAATTGTACACATGGATCTAAGTGAGATCCAATAAGTATCGAATGTATACGATGTCAGTGTAGGTGGTACTTGTGTCCGTAAAAATAAAAGTCCCAACCAAAAAAAGAAAGTATGCTCTCAAAGCATGCATCATATGTACCTTCTGCTGCTCAGCATCACCATGTGCTTGCTATGCTATACTGATCTCTTCCACATACAGTTTCCTCAAGAACCCAAATCTAACATGAGCACCCCTGGTCTTATCAACCTCCTTCATCGCCTTCTCTCCTTAGATGCTCTCCCATCATCTCAAGTGCCTCGTCTCTGATAATCCTCCCATGATCAAGGAACTTCCCTCTAATCGGAAAATGTAAAAAACACGAGACATCGTTCAATGTGATAGACATCTCACAATGCAAAAGATGAAACAAAGATGTCTTAGAGTGTCAACTCTCCACGAATGCATTAAGCATCTCGTGGTTGACCAGAGTATAACCGGGCATGCATAGGTCCTTCAGACCAGATAAAGATAGAACACTCTGAAACTAATCCTCCTCCTAGTGAGGAATGCAACAATCTTCCTCCCATGGTTCAGAAACTTCTCGGGATCACGCTCCTGAAATTTGCCATAAATAAACAATGTCGATAATAATCATTGTCAGAAATTAAAATTAAAATTAACACATAAAAAAATAAAGAATCCAACTGATGTCACCTCACCATCCCGGATATGTCTGGCAGTATGGTCTAGATACAGAGGAAGTAACGACATATCATACGGGCCTCCTCCAAAATTCCTTGACTCGACATCCGCAACAACCTCACCCTCCTGAGGTGGCACAGGATCAACATGATCATTAGTGGGAGGTAGCACTGGATCCGTAGAAGGTGACACTGGTGAATCCTGACGCCTGCGGGAGGATGGGGAAAGTGACGGGTCAGATGGTGAATCACGTCTCATACAGGAAGAGAAGAAGATGGAGTGACCTGAGATGAAAGAGGAGAGACCTGATATGGAGGTGAAGTGTCTAAGATGAAGTGACTTGATGTGAAAGACGAACCCCAAGAGTAAATTATGCTTTAGAAGTCGACACCTCTATCTGACCAGATGTACTTGATGCTTCTAGAACCTGCTAACTCCGCTCCCGCCAAACAGATGCGTGCTGGGCAACCCGATGATGACTCAGTCTGTCGACTCTGACATCCATAATGCCTATTAGGTAAAATAAGGCGTATCATTAGTGCATGCACACAAAACACACAAACAAGAAAATTATAAAAAAATAAAGACAAAAAGAAATTTCGGAGATGCATCTCCGGAAACACCATAAAACAATAACGTTGACCAATTCTGGAAATGCATCTCCGGAAACACGTTAAAACTTTTTACTTAGAATACTTCTGGAGATGCATCTCCGAAATATTCCAAAGGATATGAAACACTGAACAATTCTGGAGATGTATCTCCGAAATATTCTACAACTCAGAGGTAACGACAATGACGTAATGTACCTCTTGCAATGTGGAAAAAATAATCTAACTGCCATTTTGAGCCAACAAACAAGTCATAGACTAAGTCTAAACTATGTTACTTGTGATTTCTACTCATTTATATCCCTAATCAATTATTTCTACACATTTACACCAAAACTCGAATATTTCCCAAAAAATCAAAAATCTTACGTGAAATTGATGATTCAAATGTTGTTTTTTATATTAGAGGTGATACTTGATGTTCTCTTGAGTTCATCTGATGCCTTGCTTGATGAAATTTGATGCTTGTGACAATAGATAAAATTGAGAGAGTTTGGTGTTTTGTGTGGAACAAACTGTGAAATGAGGGAGGAGAATAGTCTGACACGAGTTAAGCTCTAAATTTTTCGGAAATATATCTCTGGAATATTTTAACGTTCATTGAACTTAGGGTGCGTCCGAAGATATATCTCCGAAATCAGGGGGCATATGTGAAAATTCACATGGTGTATTAAGAAATATTCATTAAAAAAAGTAATTGGTCACACTTTGCTTCATTATCATGGTTTTTTCATTTGGGCTAATCTTTATTGTCATTTGATACGGAATCCTTTTGACATAGAGAATTAAAAAAAGTTATCGGGTTAGAAGAGTAAAATCTGGAGAAATTCTTAATGCATCCTAGATCCTTCTACTGCACCATATGAATTTCCACAAATGCCCCTTGGTTCTGGAGATATATATCTGGAGGCACCTCTTGCATACTCAAGTAAGGCCATTCTGAGAGGCGCCCTATATGTTGGATTATTTTTATTCCAGAGATGCATCTCCTAAACATTTTAAGAAAAACCTCAATTATTTAACAGTTCAGTAGAAATTTTGGAGATGCATCTTCGAAATTATGGGTGGTATTTTGAAATCTGCTGTCACCTTTGCATGTTAGGTATTTCTGGAGATGTATCTTCGAAAATATTCGATATAGAAACCAGTTGCATGATCACTCAACCATTGTTGACATACTTGGTTTTGAACCAAACCCTTCACCCTAAAAACCCTTCATTCTCAATCCATTTTTTCACTCCAAATCTCCATCCTTTTGGTTCATCATATCATAGGGACGAAAAGAAGATAAAATTTCTAGTAAA